GGTGAGAGTCCGGAATGCGTTATTTGGGATGCACACCCATAACAAATCCCAACCTTTGGAGTGTGGTGGCACGCCCAGGTGCGGGCTCACGCCGCTCCAGTTGGAATCTTAGCTGCCTCCTTTTTTTCCTGCTGTGCAAAATCCCGGTCAGTTGTATGTTGTGGACCAGGGGGTGTGGTGGTACGCCTAGGTGCGGGTTTTCGCCGTACCAGCCACTTGCTGCCTCTTCCACCTCCGCTCTTCTTGACTCCATCGTGACACCGGGTCCAGGTGGGGGAGGAGAGAGAGTGCTAGATGCTGCCAAGTCTGCTATTCCTATATACGAGTACGCCCGCAAGTTACCGTCCCTGCTCCCACTCTGCTGTGGGACACGCAGTAGACATAATCGAAAACTACGCACGAACTGTCACCTGTGGCCCCGCCAGCCACTGCCTAGGTCAGTTATTAAAGTGGCTGTTTGTACTTGCTAACCGCTTATTCTTTCTGCACTAATCAAAAGAATTTGGAAGCCCACCATGACAACTGCAGAAAAGAAGTACTTATTTATAAGACTGCTTTTTCAAGGGAACGCAGCAAGTGACCTAGTAAGAAGACGTCTGAGGACAGCGATCACTAGCCCTTTCCTCGCGGCGAACGTACGTGTGTTTCGCGAACTCTCCCCTCCTACGCTTGGGAGGTAAAGACCGACTCCCGTTGCAGACCACATCGATGTGTATTTACTCATTCACTTGCTCCTGTGGAGTGGGATACATTGGCCGTACAACGAGGCGCTTGGAAAAGAGAGTACGTGAACACATACCGGCCTGGCTAGGCAGAGGTGAAAGGAAATCGATCTCAAGTTCCGTTCTTGCACATCTTGTCGATACGAATCACCGAGTCGATGCTAAAGAAGCCTTTCAAGTTGTTTACGGGACACCGGTAAGCTGCTCCAGAGGCCTACGCCAACGGGTGATAGCTACAGCCGAGGCAATGGCTATAGGGCTAGCCAATCCAGTGCTATGCTGTCAGAAGACTGACACAGGCGCTCTGTCTTTCGTGACCAACGTCGACCCCAGATGGTGATTGCACGTCGCCCCAACCTCCTGATGACAGTGGTGTGTACACAACGTACTGACGTACAAACATTACTCACAGCCTATGTCCCCCCTCTCCCTCGCCCCCTTGACCCAATGACCACGACACGCCGACCACGCCATAGCACGCCTCGTCATACGAGTGGCGTGAGAGCGATGGGTGTTAATAGCCCCTGAGTCACTTATAAGCCCTGTAACTTCGCATAATTTAAACTTCTATGTAACCGTTTTGGCCTGATGATGAGTTACCGAAAATACGTGTTTGCCAAATTGACTTCGCTGAATTGATATTCGCTGAATTTGGAATGAGTTAAAAAAAAACATGTTCCAATGCAGCTTGCTCTCCTAGGCTGACGTATCGACAGTGTCACTATGCTAAAAGACGACGGTTTTGAACGACGAGAAACGTACCGCAAACAGTCCTTAAAACAAGGCTGCGCTCTGACGTTTATTATGCTCACCGATACGATATGAAAGTGCCAGTTATTGACTAGATCAGTTTTTAAGGTAGCAGTTTGTACTTGTGAATCGCTGGGTCTCACCATATTCGATGTGGCGAGGCGATATTCTCGGGGTGAATGTCCTCAAATATATGTTTTTTAATCTTTCAGAGCATAGGAAGTCACGCATTTGTTAGAAGTCGGATGACCCCCTGTACTCTCAGACGTTTGATCTCTTTTCTTCAAGTCCAGGCTCCAGACTAGCACCGCGTCTAGAGGCGGTGGAAGACCCTGGAAGAATGTAGAAATACACAACCGTTTTTACTTTTCACAGGGCAGTCGTAGGGCCCGTCGTCCAAATTCTTGTCGTGTGTAAGAGAAGGCAGAAAAGTTACAGCTTGGAGAAGCAGAGGGAGAAAGTGTGTGTGCAATGAGCTCAGGGGTTCCCGCCGACAAGGAAGCAAGGTCAGTCGCTACAAAGACTTCCCTGAAACATCTGCATATCAACCCGACCAACTGGGAAGACCTCGCCCGAGACCGACCGATCCGAAGGAGAGCAAGGAAGACAGGCGCAGCGATCTATGAAGCCAACCGCATCACCGCCAAATGCTAGACACTCAAATCTCAGCTGCGCCCACCTCGCAACGCCAATGCTCAACCAACCCCGACCTGCTCACGCTGCCAGCGGACCTTCCGGGCACCAGTCGGCCTTGTAGGACATCGTACCAACTGCAGCGCCCGGACTACGCCAGATGGTGCCTCCTCATCCAAATCCGCCCATCCTCCACGCCAACAAGTAACATTGACCGCACTTCCGAACACCCACTACCATTTCTCCCCTCCT